TACACCAACCCGCTTTGCCATCGAACACTTCCGTTGACGGTGAATTGGATCAATTATGTCTGTTATTCGAGGTTAAAATGTGCTAGAGAGCATTCAAACTAAAAGGTTCACTCATTCCGCCCGTTGCCTGTATTGATAATGTGAGGAAGAAGCTGTCCTCCTGTGGCACAGGGAACCACAGTGAATAATAAACAGATCAACACATGCCCTAATGTTCCTCTGTCTCTACCACTGTGTGCGTGTGAGAGAGTATTTGAGAATTACCAATGCACACACAAAGTAAATACGACTTGCGAGAGTTCACGTTTGTGCGACCAACGATGTCCTATTCCTCGCCGACCTCTCCTAGTTAGTTTGTGTTCAACGCTGATATCTAGACTGTTCATCCCCATGGTTTAATGTTATTCGTTCTAGGTAGCTACATTCTTTTANTTTATCCGATGATATGTTCATACATACATATATTGCCATCATATTTCTGGTATTTAAACTGACCATATTACAATTGTGAAGAATTGGTAGGAAATCGTATAGAGTGACATTGACCATCATCACCGTAGCCCTACTTTCTCATTGTCGTACTCGTTTGGCTGCGGGTCTCTTGATAGCACATTTGTTGTGTAACAACTGGATAACATTTTATACCATTTTCACTTATCTGTGGTATACATAATCTATATATACCAATGATAAGAGCACTGTGCGGTTCAGAATCCATTGTTTGTTCGAAGTCAGTGGAACACAAAATTCACCGCAGGTCATGCCCCTCACAACGTCCCCGAGTCAATCGGGGCTACCGAACCCTGGGTCTATGTGTACACCGTTCTCGTCGAGAGGGAACTCTCATTACACGACATTTCAATCACATTGAATTGTTTTCATTCCCGACGTCCATCCCTTTTTTAAGTCAGGCATAGAAATGTCTATATTGTACAAATCATATGTGTTTGTATGTGCGTTCGTACAACATATGCCATTCCGCTGCGGACACTGTTCGGACTTTCGATGCTCCTTGGTCTGGCTACAAAATTACGATATATTGGACGTCAGCAAATCGGTTGGTTATTCTGCGCAAAACGGCGATGCGTGGACATTTCACAACATACACACACACACACACACCCTGTCTATCTCGTTCATTCATGAGTGTCGAATTGGAACTAGCTAGCTAGCTAGCTATTTTGAAAAATAATCGTACCTGAACGACAGTGAAGTCACAAATTTTGGTTCACATTCGGTGACCAGATGTGCTGTAAATCAGAGCACCATCTCCTCTCGGTGTGGACGTGTGTGTGTGCGCACGCGTGCGCGCTCTCTTCGTTTTGCGGAAACGATCCTCATCCCTTAACCGAGGGACAACGGAACGCTTTGATGAGGAGAGCGTGTGTTGGAAACGGTTTCCTTTTCATTTCTGTCTCTCGGTGTTTGGCTTCAACCGTGAAACGCATTCGCACACGCACAACCGAGAACGCACGCACGCTTGCGCATGTTTGTTTTGTTTTTCACAACTTGTGTGCATTCCTTGTGGTTTTCCGGCACACAGCTGTCGTGGCACATGCTTGCATTCACTTTCGTATACACACACGGTGACCAAACGGAGACACGCATTGCACGCGAATTTGTGAGCTCTGCACAGGCAAGCAGGTCGACCGGCAGGTTAGGTACACTTCCGATTGTGATTTTTGTGAAAAATTCAGTTCTGTGCAACGTTCCTGCTGCTGCTGCTCATGGGAATCGACCATAAGAAATCCCCCCTTCCTCCTCCCCACTAGGTCTAATTACGTATGGATAGGATCATAGAGTGGCTGATTGTTGCTATCCAGTGTTGTTTGAAATAGAAGCGAAAATATCGAACTTATGAAGCAACGGTCATTCCAAGGATTACAGGTCAGAAAATGTTGAATGCCATCGTAGTTGAGTAG